AGGAAAATGATAAAAATTTATTAAAAATATAGATTTTTAGAATTTTTCGATTTATTGGGCAAATTAATCTGTAATACAGATTGTGTCGACCCACCTCCTGACTCTAGTGGGAGAACGAGCACAGTAGGGCATATGCCAGCGACTAAAACATAGACGTACAAATATAGCACAAGCAAAACTTGTACAAGATAAATTATACAGAGAAACGGACTTATTACGACTGAACATACCAAGACAGAACAATATTTACCTAACTACCCTGTGCACCAAACACATAATCGCCCCTAGAACCCCCATCACCACTCCAAATATGCCGGCTACTATCTGGGAAGGCTAGAAGTCCCCTTCCAAACATTGACATATGTACAAAGTACTCATTCCTATGTATTTATTTCAGATTTTATTATTACCATTATTTTTTACGTATACTTTTGTGTATTTGCCTTTAACCTTTGCAGTTTTTTTTTATCATTAATTTTAATAAGTGTTTTATTTATTTATTTAGTTTTGTCTTTAACTTTTATAGTTGTAATTTTGTAGTGACCTTACTGATGTACTTTTTGGGGTCAGTGTTGTGACCCGCTGATAACAATGGGCCAAGTAAAATCACAGTTCAACGCCCTTCTTCAATTTCAGTTATATCGCTTGTGTTCTTGGGAATTATTTTATTCGAGAATTGGAAATTCCTTTCCCTGTGCGAATTGTGAAGATAACATCCTTTAAAAAGACCCCACTGCTTTATTAAAGCTAAGAAAAGAAGTCTTACATTGCTTGGCTACTAAACAAGCATGACAAAGCATTTTTCGCTATGATCAATACAGATATTGACACTGTGTGGAGGTATCCATGGTAACATTGACGATCCTATCATAATTTAGTATAGGCCAGAGATTATTTCTGAAAAAAACGTGAACACTGAAAATAACAATAATGTTCACTATATGTGCACAGGTAGATTGGATATCATCGTCAACACAACATACACAGATATACAAGTTACTGTTGACGAACGCCTTGGGCTTGTACGTGACTCACCTGAACAGCCGTTTTTCGACAACTGGTACAGTGTCTGCGGTTGTTGTCCACCCGCCGAGCTTGAGGACTGAGGGTTTATTGCAGCCATGCTATATGACGGTTTGTCTTTACGTGGTAACAAATTTGTGTCGAATGCACGCTATATGGCTCTATACCCTGTACATACCCTCCATGCTTCTATACCAAACAACCGGAACCTATATATTGAGGGAGTGTTCATTTTTGTGACAGGGGAGTGGGCTAAAGAAGGATGCTCCATATTACTATTTACGGCTGAATAAATAAATGTATAAACTAAACTAACGAGTAACGAGTACAACATTTACAGTGTTCACACGTGTACCAAAAAACCGGCTTGGAGGCCAGTTCGCTTGCAACAACACAATAAAGGATATAAAAACTTTTTCCCGACCCTACAAATCATATTATGCTAGTATAAGAATAAGATTTCAGTAAAAATGCAAAACATGTGAGTGTATTTCATATCCTTGTCAATTTTATTTTTTTCCGCTCACATTTATTTCAGAAATCTTCGTACTGTACGTGCCTTCAGTTCACTCGAATAATATGATACACTAAATGCATAAGTCAAATATAATAGGAATTGGATTAGTGGGATAAAATTGTAAACTGTATACAATTATAATACTACGGAATGTCAATCATAATAGGAAATATATTCCCTCAGGCTGGGGTTAATTTTAGCGGATTTGAGGTTGCAAAGATATCAAGCGAGTTTAACATTACATTTTATTGTTAAACATAAATATTAACTGGGTTTTAATTGAGTGCATGGGAGATAAGCAAAAGTGAAAGGGCATATTTCAGGGCCGATAGCAGCGAAACTTTTACTTTCACATTGGTGTTTCTCTTCATTTATAAACGTATGCAATGTGTCCGGTCAGGCAGTCACAGTAGTGCACGATTGGCTAGATGGCGGAACCGGGTCTATATAAAACATGAACACTACGATAAAGCCTTACCTGAAAAAACAAACTGATTTTGACAAGATAATCCAGAAATTTATATTAAAAATAATTCATAACGAAATGCATTCCCTATACACCCATAAATACTAATGTTCATAACTATCGATAACACAAGAATATTACAGAAACAAGATATTTTGCTATGTTCTCTATATTTTTGCGTTTTATTTGCCTTGAACGGTGACTGAGAAAAGCTGAATGAAATTAAAAACTATGTAATGTGTTCAACAACTCATGTATGAACAATACTGTATTTTTCTGCATAAAAACAAAAGAATTTCACAATGTCGAAAACGGAAAGTCGTTATCGTAGTGTCCATGGTGTGCTCTGTAATCATCCAAAGCTAGGTTTAAAAAATGCAATTAAAGTAAATATAGTTTTTCTTTCTTTGCTTAGTTGGACAAAATTTGAATTGAACATTTGAAGTTTAAAGCAGGAGGGTTGTCACCAGCGTACGCACGGGAATTGTTCCAAGCGATGATAACGCAAGCTAAAAACGCAAAGGCCCATCTGACGCATACGCAGTTGCAGACTCCCCCGCTTTAAAAAAAAAACGCCCTTGCATATTTACACCATTATGTCAACCACACTAGTTTTCCATACAACTGTAACACATTCCAATATTCCTCAACATTAAGCATCACACAACTTGAATTGTTCTGTTTTTCGGGCATACAGATCAGTTATGCCTCATAGAGTATTATATATAAGGAGGACATTGCAATAACCATAGATGTTTTGATTTTATAAACCACACATTTTGTTAAATTTAAATCCGACGTTGTCGATAACTCCAGTGAATTTCCTTGCCAGGACCACGTGGTTGTACATTTTTGTCATATTTTGTCAGAAACTTGTTTAAACCATTTTTTTTTCATTGAATGGTTAGTAAAGTCATCATCGCAATATCAGTCTGTTAATTTACTATATTTCTATCCTACTGTAAAATTTTCACTGGGTTTAAATTTCGCTGATTTACCATTTCAGGCATATTCAGTGGGTTTTAAATTCACCGTTTTATCATTTAGACAATGTGTTCTATGCTAAATTTTACATATTCACTGGGTTTTAATTTAGCGCATTTTTCAGTCAGCGAAATAAGCAAAATTAAAACCCAGTGAATAATTACCCTTTATACAGTAATTGTTCTGTAAATCATATGTTCACCATTCTTTAGCCGAGTGACCATGTGCGCTTGCCTTCAACGCGTCACGTGTGTTAAACTGACTATGAGAGATTCTGTGGTATTTATAAATCCATATGCGTTATTTACTTTTTTAATGTTTTAATCATAACAAATTACAGATTTCCACGTGCAAGCACAAATTTGATTTTAACTGACAATTGGAAAAAATAGAAATACTAATACGACCACCATATAGTTTCTGGTTATATATCTTTGGCAACAAATCAATCTAACATATGCATGTTAATACTCGTCAGTCAATTATGGAAATAAGATAGAACGAGTGACGTATTCATTTGTATTTCTGTATATTATTCTTATTTTATTTTATTTTATTTAAATTTATGTTTTGTAATCAATAATGCAAACAAATATGCATTTAGGGAAATACTGGCCTTTGTGTTGCATTGTTAATTCAAGATGTTATATATTATTGCATGGTTGGGGTTCGTCGTACGCAGGTTGTTACATAATATGGTTCGTTGTACACTGGTTATTACATGGTGAGTGTTTGTCGTACGCAGGTTATTCCATAGTAGGTGTTCTACGTCGTACGTAGGTTATTACATAGTAGGTGTTCGTCATACACAGTTATTACATAGTAGGTGTTCGTCATACACAGGTTATTACATTTTCTAGTAGGGGTTCATCGTACGCAGGTTATTACATACTCTAGTAGGGGTTCGTCATACACAGTTATTACATACTCTAGTAGGGGTTCATCGTACGCAGGTTATTACATATTCTAGTAGGTGTTCATCTTACGCAGGTTATTACTTAGTATGTGTTCGTCTTACGCAGGTTATTACATTTTCTAGTAGGGGTTCATCATACACAGTTATTACATACTCTAGTAGGGGTTCGTCATACACAGGTTATTACATACTCTAGTAGGGGTTCATCGTACGCAGATTATTACATATTCTAGTAGGTGTTCATCTTACGCAGGTTATTACTTAGTAGGTGTTCGTCTTACGCAGGTTATTACTCCAAAAAACATCCTCAAAGATACAGTATTTTATTCAGGGCAACTATTTTTCTATTCTTTTAAACAAAGTAGGATCGTTTGGCGGGTATCCACAAAAGCCACGATCTTCTCCCGTGATGCACTGCTCCCAATCCGGCCAGAATCTTTCTTTCATTCTGTAGCAATATTCTTGTAAATTCTTGCAGTCTCCTAACCAGAAATGAAGGAAGTTGAAAATGAGTCAACTACATTAATATTTGAATTATAAAATCATAGAAATAATAGCAAAGTATGTTACATGCAATTTAAATTACCTTTCGAAAGATCCTCTTGCACAGAATCCGGCAGGCACCACACTAACTGCGCCAACATGCCAAAAATGGCACAGTCTTCTTCACATGGCTGATCACCGAACATAAATGCTTTATCACCTGCCAATAAACGTAATGTATGTGTTAAAATTACCTGGTTATTATTATTATTATTATTATTATTATTATATATTAGGATGTATTCTTGGGATTCTTATCTTATTTTCACTGATATAGAAAATCAGATATTCTGAACAGTTTTACACAAAATAAGTACTTCAGAAGGTCACACATCCGGGTACATAATTGGGTTACCCATTCACTAACACTTGAGAATTTCGCAATAAAACCCTGTGAAAATGCAAACATAATTAGACTTTGCGACTTGCAAAAATGGACGTAACTCCATAAGTCAAAAGTACCCTCACAAAGTACCAGGATGTGTCATGCATAGACATATTGCATTGTTCCTCGTCTAATTATTTTGCCAAGACGTTTTACCCACGTCAAACTTGATCACATTCTGTAACGAAGTTTGAAACTGAATATAAATATTTCATCAATACGTAACATACATAATACAACATGACCAGGGGAGTCGAACTTTGACGTGAAAGAAGGTATTTTTAAGCCATCAGTTCAAACGCACATCCCCAGAACAACAAGTCATTGTCAATGACACGTCCCCGTTCCGTTCATATTTGAGTGACATATACATTCAAAGCAGATCATGACCGAAATGCACCTGCATATGTACAACACATTGTACTAAATCTGAACAAAATCCATCCATGCATGACTGAGATCTGGTTCCGGAATTGTGAAAATACGTGATTTTAATGCATTTTCGGTCTTAAAATGGCCATCATTCAGCTATTGTTAAGCGGATCATGAAACAAATGCACATATCTATTTGTGACATGATGTGTGTGTGAAGTTTGAACTTGATCAATCCAGACATGTCTTGGATACGGATCCAGAACTGAATTCTTTAAGAAAATGGCCGCCAGTCAGCCATTTCGAACTTGATCCGAAAAAAAAATGACGTGCATCAAGGTCCTATTATGTTTAATGTAAGTACCGAATTTGAACGAAATCCGTCCATGTATAACTGAGATCCGGGTTCGGAATGGTGAAAATGTG